CTACTTTTCTAGCCTTGTCAGCACCTGTCACACGCACACTCAGCTTTGCAGAAATTATGGGCATTCTGTCGAAGACTTCTGGTGAAGTAGAAAGCACATGAATCTTACTGTTCAATCACCCACTTCCCACACGCAACAATAGCTCATGGGTACCACAGATAACTTTGCCAAAGTTCTCTGCCAAAGTTGAGCACGTGAAGCTTGCAGCTCCCACTACATCGCTCTGACCAAGAAAGGTAAAAGAATAGCAAAGAAACAGCACTAACAAAGTTTAGACACATAAATTTTGAAGGTCTAGCTACCATATTATTACCCACAAGGGTAAAGGAACAGTACCACTGCTGGATAATTGGAAAGTCCCTGTGTGTCAACCTCTGTGCTTCGTGGCAAGGTAGACTAGCAAACATGCCCAACCTTTACTCACATTCGAGAAAACACTCCCAACAAGATTGCTTGCTCCAAAATCGAAGAGGCACCGTCCTCCGAATCTCGAGAGCCAGACTCCCAACATGACTACTTTCTCAAAATCGAAGAGAGGGTAAAGGAACAGTACCATTGCTGGATAATTGGAAAGTCCCTGTGTGTCAACCTTTGTGCTTCGTGGCAAGGTAGACTAGCAAACATGCCCAACCTTTACTCACATTCGAGACAACACTCCCAACAAGATTGCTTGCTCCAAAATCGAAGAGGCACCGCCCTCCGAATCTCGAGAGCCAGACTCCCAACATGATTACTTCCTCAAAAATCGAAGAGACACTGCTCTCCGAATCTCGAGAGCCAGACCCCCAGCATGATTGCTTTCTCAAAAATCGAAGAGGCATCGTTCTCCGAATCTCGAGAGCCAGATACCACAGACCACTTTTTCAAAGTGCTCTGACAGAGTTAAAACATGTGAAACTGGCAGCTCCCACTACCGTGCTATGACCAAGCAGGGTAAAGGAATAGCATTACTACTTGTTGTTAGGGAGACTCCTATATATGTCGACCTCCATCCCCAACGGACAGGCAGACCTGCAAAAATGCTCAACCCTTCATCATATCTGAGAGGGCACTCCCAACGAAGCCTTTCGAAATATTCAGCTTTCTTTCCCCCCGATAATACCTCTGCAAACAAGCTATACTAGAGCAAGAATATCTCATATCATCAGGGTTAAAAGCAAGAGTATCCCATATCATGCTTTTTCCCTGTCTTTTCCTTTGGCCTTGTTTTTACCTGCAAGACAAGGAGAAAGAGAGCAATCAGTCAGCACTTGGAATCAAGCTTCCAGCCAGGAACTGACTGCCTGGAACCCCTTACCTGATTACTTACCTGGCATTGCTCTCGAGTACTCATCTTCAACATCTTATGTTTCCAGGGAAGATTCCGCATCTGCTTGAGGAACAGATAGGGCAAGTGCGAAGGATACAAGGAAGCATGTGGAGACAAGCGTAACAGCACACGTGCCGATACATCCATTACTCTGTCAAAAGCAAAAGTATCCCATATCAGCAGGGTGGAACGTACTCTAGATTTGATGGACTTGTTTTGACCCTCAAATTCTTCAGTCGGCCTTATACTCTGGAGGAAACCAGAAAACCCTCCAGCTCAGTTCAAGAATAAGCCTGTGGAAAGTTACTTCTTCAAAAGCAAAAGTATCTCATATCATCTCTTCTCATTTTTCTTCTCTTTATCCTTCATGCTGCTGCAAGATGGGGAGAAGGTGTGAACAATCAGTCGGAGCTCTGATTGCTTACCTTGTCTGTCACCTCTTTCAGCAGACCCCCTAGCTCGGCGACTTGGGGGACTCCTACTACATGGTTTGTATCGCGCTTGACCAAGCCTGAAACTACAAGTAAGCTTCAAGTGAAATTGATACATTACCTTGTGCATCTCCACCAGTTAAAGATACCACCCCTGGATGGAGGAAGAGTACTTCCAGAGAAGATGCCACATCTACCTATGAGACAGATAAGGCAAGTCAAGACGACACCACACTCCGATACTTAGAAGTTTCGTGATTACGAGATCATTCTCCCACAATATTTCCTAATGTCATTTGTACTAAATCATTCACTTGTACTCACTAAAGGAGAGCTTGAACCTATGTACTTGTGTAAACCCTTCACAATTAATGAGAACTCTCTTCTATTCCGTGGACGTAGCCAATCTGGGTGAACCACGTACATCTTGTGTTTGCTTTCCTATCTCTATCCATTTATATACTTATCCACACTAATGACCGGAGCAATCTAGCGAAGATCACAAAAAGCGACCGTTTTCGCTACCTAGGATCTATCTTGCAAGAGAACGGAGAATTAGATGGAGATCTCAACCATAGAATACGAGCTGGATGGATGAAGTGTAAGAGCATCCGGCGTGTTGTGTGACCGTCGTAGGCCACTGAAGCTCAAGGGAAAATTTTATAGGACGGCAATAAGGCCAGCGATGTTGTATGGCACAGAATGTTGGGCGGTGAAGCATCAACACGTACACAAAATGGGTGTAGCGGAGATGAGGATGCTTCGTGGGATGTGTGGGCACACGAGAAAGGATAAGATTGGGAATGAGGATATCCGAGGTAAAGTAGGAGTAGCCGAAATTGTAGGAAAGATGAGAGAAAATCGGCTCCGGTGATTTGGACATGTGCAAAGAAGGCCGACTGACGCTCCGGTTCGAAGATGTGACTACGGGACAGAGGTTCAGGGCCGAAGGGGTAGAGGAAGACCTAGGAAAACTTTGGAAGAGACTCTAAGAAAAGACTTAGAGTACTTGGATCTAACGGATGACATGACACAAAACCGAGCGCAATGGCGTTCTAGGATTCATATAGCCGACCCCACTTAGTGGGAAAAGGCTTTGTTGTTGTTGTTGTTGTTGTATCTCCAATTAAAAAAGTTTGAATCTTTCACATCACTCCGACATTTCTCTTCCGAAATAAATCCACTCGGTTCTTATTTCTCTTCCTACAAAATTTTTACAATGCTGGGATTATATCCCTCATCTCATTGCCCCATTCCATGGCGCTGCCAAAACGCATTCCTACTCAACCATCATCTTCCTAATTCATAAAAGCATCCGCTTCGCAGTAGCGTAAAACAATAACGGATTCGACATTACCAACAACTCCATGGTTCAAACTTAACCAACACAATAAATTCCAAAAGTTATCAAGACATAAAATTTGGAAGGAAAGCAGCGTACCCGGCTTCCAGGAGCAATGGAGTACCCGACCACTTGGCCCGAACCGCAGCTTGAACATTCTTAGGCCTCCGATTCTGAGCCGAAACCAAACCGATTCCTGACGCTCCCAAACACACCAAGACGATCACAGCACAAAACGCAGATTTATAACGGGTCCCCATTTGCAGTTTCCGAACGAAACAGAACGGGTTCGGATCCTTCAGAAGCATACGGGTCCGGATAGATCCACCATCCAGAGAACCAGAAAACGAAGCTCGTCTGGGATTTTTAAGGCTTTTCGGCTGAGGAGGGAGAGCGGTGGACTGAACGAGAAGACGACTCTGTTGTGTGTGAGGAGAGTGAGGAGAGGAGACTGTACTATCGGGGGTGTATTGGTCTTTCTGTGAGATGTGCAAGGGTGTTTTAGTAAATTCAGTATTGGTCGACAAGTAATAGTATGATATGACAATAATGACGTGTTGTTTTGTGATTGCATAACGTCTTGATTCCGAATGATAGATTTTTCAGTGTCTTCGAAACACGGTATTGTATTTGGTTAAAAAAACACGGTGTTGTATATCATATGTTATTATACAAATTGAAAAAAAAAATTCAAATGTCCCTTATTTGTATAACAATATACGGTGTATGTGCTCGTGCTCTAGGCATACTAAAAAATAAACACCATGCAATCACAAAGTTTTTGTTGTTATTCAATATACGTGACATGATTAAGTATGGTGAACGAATACAAGCCACCAATTATACTTATATTGTCTTTAGAGATGCAAGTTGGAATTGTGTTTCTAATTTTTCAACCAAGTCAACTGATGTCAACATCGCCACTAAGAAAACACATTTCTTTGTGGGACAAGGATTGTCTGCCCTTCACTTCCGGTGCCCTCTGTGCCCTCTTGTTTGTGTGGTCACGGTTAAGTCACGTCAACATTTTATATTACTATTCATTTTTGTCTTATTATATCTATAAAAAAACAATATAAAATGTTGACGTGGCTTAACCGTAACCGCACAAAACAGGAGGGCACGGGAAGGGCATCGGAAGTGGAGGGCAGACAATCCTTGTCCTTCCTTGTGAGCATTTACAGTTGCCTTTAATTGTCATTAGACTAGTGTGATTAGTTACTATACAAATCTAGGAATTTGAATTTATTCAAATGGAAATCCAGTTAAAGAAGAGAAAACTGAGTGCAACGATGTATTATAGGATGGCTCAAGATATGTCAAATATTATGTTCTAGTATTGAAATGAAAGTACATCCTATGTTGTGAATAGGTTTTTTTTTTTTTTTGTCAACTAACAATATGAACATGAATAGGTTAATAACATAAACATCATATAATACGAAAATTACATTTGCGGTCCATGCATCATAGTAAATATTTCATGTTATCAAAGCTGATTAAAATATCAAAATTGAAATTGTGTTTTAGAATTTACTTGATTGATGAAATTGAGGAGGCCTTTGAACTTGGTTGTAGAAGATCATTCTCCCAATCCGTAGCGCAATGTCAGGAGCGTGTGGTTAACGTGTATAGGCCTATTTTAATGAAAGGAGAGAAGAGGGCGCGGCACAAGGATAGAGAGAGAAAAAAAAACAGAGTTGGGGACTTTCTGTGGTGGTCTTTCTCATCACTAGACCCTTTATTTATATGTAAATATAGTAGACTTACTTGACCTACAAATAATGAAATAGTTAATAGGGAAGACTTAAAAGATAATCCTAAACACTAGGGGTGGGTTCGAAAAACCAAAAATCGAAAAAACCGAACCGAATACCGAACCGAGGCCGAAAAAAACCAAACCAAAAAAAAAAAACCGAACCGAAAGTGTAAAATCGAACCGAACCGAATCGAATTATAAATAAATATTATTTTTTTCCCTTAAACGGCGTCGTTCAGTCCAATTTGTATTTTGTAGCGCATGCCTGCCTTCTATCTTCAGTCTGAAACCCTAAACAGAACCGAACCATTCCCTTTCTCCATCTCATCCCCAGCTCCGGCGCTCTTAGCCTCTTCCACTTCGTTTTCTTCCTTCCCAGCGACCTGTGTCACATCTCGCTGTCGCTGTCTCATTCTCAGTCTCTCACCTCCGTGACCGATGACCTGCGTCCCATGAGGCACGACTTCCTCTCACCGTTTCAAGTCTCGAGTCTCAACCCAAAAATTCCCTCCTTTGCAAGGTCAGTCTCTCACCCTCTGATGCGTTTTGCAGATTTTTTTTTTTCAATTTCGTTGGTTCTGATGAATCTGATCTGTAGCTTTTCAATTTCATGGTTTTGCAATTTGTTTTGGGTATGCTGGATTTGGTTAGGTAACTTCATTTCTGAACACTATTAGATTATTAGTTGAGGTTTGATTAATTTGGAAAGTACATAGGGTTTGATTAATTTATTTTGGGTATGCTACTGGATTTGATTCTGCAACACCTTTGGTTTGTCTCCCTTCTTGTGAATGTACGTGCTGGATTTATTTTTCTTAAGGTGGGATGATAAATTTTATTTATTAGTTATGTAGAAATTGGAAAAATGGTCGATATTATTTGTTCTTTTTTTTTTTTAATTTTATCGCTTTATCTCCCTTCTCAAGTCTGCTTCATGCTAACATGCCCAGTCGATGACATCAGTTCATATTGCAGAGTAAATCATATTGTCTCCCCTTTCATACTAATTAGTTAGTAATGTGCCCTGAGTTTTGCGTGTAATTGTATCACTCAATATGTTGAGGAGCGCATCGCCGGTAGGGTTACAATTGGGCAGAACAGATGCACTGGAATGCCCATTGCATGCCTATACTCTTAACTCTACAATTTAGTTCATTTGCATTTTGTATGTGAATATCATCCCATATATAGTTGGTTCTTCAACCTAATCAAATCATAATCTTTCATTTTGTATGGGATATTGGAAGAAAGAAACTAATCTATGTATCTTAATATATGTTTTGTATATTAATTAGATGAAGTCAAGTGCATCAAAGGCCTCGAGCTCAAGCTCAAACTCAATGAGATCATCAAATAGCTCCCGTGAAAAAAATAAACTCATCTACGTCTACTCCATCGCAAGTAAGTTGTCATCTCTATACTTTTTCTATGGTTCTTATGTCTTAGTTTATTTAATAATTAATTGTAATGATTTTTTCTAATATTTTTTAAGGACATTGTTGGTGAATCAACTCCACCTCAACTCCCCATGGTGGTAACTCAACAAACTCCTCTTACTCATGGTGGATCCAAAAAATCCTCTGATGCAACTCCAAAAGAAGGTTGCTCAAGTGATAAAGTAAGTAAAGAAGACACTCTCTTGGATTCACTAAAAAGTCATGAAAGGTCTACAATTTGGGAGCACTTTGATAGGACAATTGAGGGAGGTAGAGTTAAATGGGTGTGCAAGTATTGTAGCAAATCGTATATGGCCGACGTGGATAAAAATGGTACAACTAATATAAGAAATCACTTAGCTAGATGTAGGAGCTACGGTCCTAATAAGGATATATTTGCTACAAATAGGCAAAATATCTTAACCTTTGATGGCACAAAAGATAAGTTGGAAGCTATAGGTTTTTCTCAGGTGGAAGTTACTAAGGCTTGCATTGAGATGGTAATTATAGACGAATTACCTTTTTCTTTCGTCGAGGGAGAGGGTTTTTGTCATTTTTGCATGCATGCATGTCCTTTGTGGAGAGTACATAGTCGTAAGACAATAGCTAAAGATGTATTTGGCTTGTTTTACTCTGAAAATGAGAAATTGAAAAGTCAGTTGAAGACATTTAGGGTGTGTTTAACAACGGATACATGGACTTCTGTTTAACAACGGATACATGAACTTCTATTCAACAAACAAATTACATGGTTCTCACCGCTCATTTTATTGATGATGATTGGATGTTACATAAAAAGATTTTGAAAATTTGTGTCATTCCAAATCATAAAGGATAATCCATTGCTCAACTTTTGGATAAATGTTTGGTGGAGTGGGGCATAGAGAAGGTGTTAACTATTATGGTTGACAATGTTTCGGCAAATGATTTCGGCTTAAGGGATTTGGTGCACCGAATAAGTGGGTAGGGGATTCCTAATGCACTTTTGCATGATGGAAAATATTTGCACATGAGGTGTGTTGCTCATATTCTTAATTTGGTGGTGAATGATGGGATAAAGATGTTGAATTCCGCCATACAAAGCATTCGTAATGCGGTTCGGTATGTAAGATCTTCCCTTCAAAGGTTGGAGAGCTTTAAAATGTATGTTGAAAAAGTGAGAATAGAAAGCAAAGAGCTTGTGATTTTAGATGTCCCTACTAGGTGGAATTCTACATTTTTAATGTTGGAATCGGCTTTGAAGTTTAAGATGGCTTTTGATAGGTTGAAAGTAGATGATGGTCATTACCTTCCTTACTTTATTAAAGAAAATCATGATAATATAAGGGAGAGGCCACCTTCGACTTATGATTGGAGTGAGGCGGGAATATTTGCATCCTTTTTTAGACCTTTCTATGAAGTCACTTTAAAAGTGTGTTGTTCTAATACTCCAACTATTCATACTACTTTTGGGGATTTGTTTAAGATCAAAAGTCTTCTCCTTGAAAACAAAGATAATGAATTCTTGTCTATGATCTCCATGTTGATGCAAGAAAAATATGACAAATATTGGGGTTCAATTGAGGATATGAATCAATATGTTTTTGTTGCACTTGTGCTTGATCCTCGCCATAAATTGGAGAAGGTGGTTGATTATTATGAGATACTATACGGCGAGGACGAGGAAAAAGTTGAAATTGCAACCAATGCGGTGAAAGATTTGTTGTTTGATCTTTACAAGATTCATGAAGAGTTATCTTTTGATACACAACAAAGCACAAGTAGTGGTGGTGGTTCTCAATCGGCAACTACAAGTGGAGATCCTTTATCAAGCATGACAGAGATTGAAAGAAAGTTGAAAGAGAAAAGCAAAGAGAGCCCGTATTGTGCATAATGATTTGGATAGGTATCTTTTGGATCCTAATGAAGGGGAAGAAGAGGCAAACTTTGATATATTGAATTGGTGGAGGGTGAATGGGCTTTCTAAGTATCCTATTTTGGCACGAGTTGCAAAAGAGATTTTAGCTATTCCCGTATCAATCATTGCTTCAGAATCCTCATTTAGCACAAGTGGACAAATAATTGATCCATATCGTAGTTCTTTGAGTCCAAAAATGATGGAGGCTTTGATATGTACACAAAATTGGCTTAGGTCAATTCATGTAGCATTACATCATGAGCCAACTATTGAGGAAATTGAGTTTTGTGAAGAGGTTGAGAAAGATAATTTTACTTATTGCATTTGGTTTTGTTAGACTATTTTAATTAGATGCTATGTTGCATGCTTGCTTTACATCATGTTCTCTCTTTTTTTATTTGTATGTAGAAATGACAAATGGAAGCTCAAAGAAAGGTGCTATGTTGCCTCCTAAGCCGCCTAAGCCTTGAGCTTGAGCTTGAGGACTTGGAAGATTTTATTTGTGCAAGACATGAAGTGATGAAACCTTGAAGGTTTATTTGACTTGTGTGATGTTTAAATTTGGACGTTTTGAAGACTTAAACTTTGATGTTTAAATTTAGACTTTTTGAAGACTTAAACTTGATTGATGATTCTAGTTGGACTTTAAATGTTTATTTTCATTGTGTGATGTTTAAATTTGGATTTTTTGAAGACTCAAAATTTTTCATTTTTTTGAGACTTTTATGAGATTTTATGTTTTTAGATTAATTAGTAACTTCCCTCAAGAATATTGAAAAACCGTGAGCCCATCCCTAAAGAGATGGAAACATGTAATATAATCTTTGGTCCCCCAAACAGAAAAAGATCATGTATCTTTTCATTGCAGATAGCGAATCATGCATAGACACATTGACATATGTATCTAAATGACAAAATCCTGAGTCATATTTTCTATCTTATGTTATGATTGTTGTTTTTAATTTTTTGGAGGAAAGAAAGAAAGAAAGAAAGAAAAAAAAAACCGAAATCGAACTGGGAAAACCGAATCGAAAAAAATGAACACAACCGAACCGAACTGAAATTTCGGTTCGGTTTCGATTTTGACAAAAAACCGAACCATTAAGAACCGAACCCAACCCAACTAAACACAACATATTAGAATTTACACAATCACATTCCTAATTAAATTAAAACTGCAACATTTCATTTTTATTTTTTCTCCTCATTTTGTTTATTAGTTATTTTCAACTTCTCCAACAACAACCACCTCACATCACATGGATATTAATTATAGTATGTGTGAGACAATTTTTTATACTATATTTTATAAACCACATTACGTAGCTGTTGATGGTTAGATTCTTTATTTAAATTATAAAAAAATAAATCCAACAATCAGCTATCACATCATGTGGTCTGCAAAACTTAATTTAAGTAAATAATCACTCTAGCATCATTATTGTGAATGAGAGATGCTCTACTTTTGGCCACATAATCTTTTGGGTATTTATTACCTTTCAAATTCATGATAGATACTTAACAAGAGAACCGTGTATGTAACATCCACCAAATTTTTGGCACTATTGTTCATCTGCCAAACAAAAACCTATATTGTTGGCAAGTTATTGTTCATCCCAACGTAATAAAAACTTGAGTAATGATATTCATACCATATTTTTGTACCACATTTTCATACCACCTTAGGTGACATTTGATGTGGACAGCTACATCATTTGAATTAATCAAATTTTTAAATTTAGTTCATTATTTAATAAACTAATAATTAAGAAAAACTAATTAAATGATGATTGTGGTATACGATGAGTCTTTCTTATTCATTTCCTTGGGTTTTACAAATTTTTTAAATGATATGATTGTCCACATCAATGCCACCTAAGGAGGTATAAAAATATGGTACAAAAACATGGTATGAATAACATTACTCTAAAAACTTTGGCCTAATTGTTCTCACACACACAATCCCACCCCCACCCCACCAAAAAAAAACGCACATAATTGGCTGTATTATTCAGATGTGGTTTCAATACCACGGATATTTTAGCCGTTAAATTCGATTTTAACGTAAAGGTGTGCTATCCACACACTCCATTTTACTTTTCACACATTCCTTGATAATTTTTGTCCATTGATCTTTTTCAATTCATCTAATCCGACAGTCAAAAATTAAAAAGATGTGTGAGAAGTAAAATAAGGTGTGTGGATATCACACCCCTTAACATAAGACTAGAGAAGCAACTAAGAAACGTGATTTCCATCGTGAATCGTGAATAGTGATTCTAGCAGTGAATAGTGTTGACAAGACGAGCAATACTTACCGATTTTTCCCATGATGTAATTGGGCACCATTCTGAAAAGACAACGACAAGACGGGCAATACTCATTGGCGTTGCCCATGATGTAAGGTGGTTCTTGGCTTTTTTTTGGTCGTTTAAAGGGTTGAAACTTGAAATTACAGTTCTATGTTTTTAAGGATAATTTCAGTATTTTGTAATTTTCGATTTTCTTTCGTTTTTGCAATTATTGAAGAAATATTCTTGGGCGGCGACGTACCCCACGTCCACTTGAGGTGTTATCAAAATGCATGATGAATCATCTTCAGGTGCCAGAAACTTGTTCCCATCACACACAAACACGCATATGATCATTGTATAATCCGGTTGTGTAAGTTTATGTTCTGCTGTTGATCACAAACTCAGATGAAAGAGGAAGGGGAGTGAGTTAGTTAGTTGACAGCCGACATGACACATAATAAATTATAAACGGAAGACATGGTACAAAATCAAACGCAAAGATTTATACAGTCGAATCTACTTAAAGAGGTAAAAAAAAAATTGTTGTTCTGCTCCGGGGCCACTACTTCTGCTTGTAGTTTGATTGAAAGGACCACCACCTGCTTTCCAATCTCCCACATCCACAATAATCATATCATATTCAGACGCCACTACTTTCTCCAATATTCTTCCATTTACTCATCGCGTCCCACGCCTTCCAGAATCACTCCATCCGGACCACGGTCCACCCCCACTTCCCCTTTGCTGTACAAATCAACTCATATTTTGGAGTTGAACGTAAGAGTTTTAGGTACATATATTAATGGAGTTTTTGAAGTTTAATCCCCACAAGAATCTTGATCATCCGTATCACCAACCAGCAGCAGCTGCCTCTTACAACATGAAGAAGGTCTGCAGCTGGAATAATCATACGCTTGAGCAGCACCACCAGCAGGTGCAGCAGCATAAAAAAAGTCATGAAAACGTGAACCCTTCGTCGTCGTCGTCTTCGTCGGAGCTTGATTTAAGAAACATTTCAAAGCTTATCCTTCCTCCCTTGGGTGCTTCGAGTTACAACCAAACTCCTATCCAGTCAAATGGATGGATTGTCTCGCCCATGGATTCAAGATACAGGTAGCTTGTCTTTTTCTTTCTGTTTTTTCTTTTCTTTTCTTTTTTTCTGGTTTTTTTGGTCGGCTGAATTATGAAGCATGGGTTCGTCAATATGGTAACGAATCGCACTCCGGTACTGTTACAAAATAATCGGTTTTCAAGTGTCTAATCAATTGTTTTGTAAAACTTGGTGTATTAGGCGGTATTCACTTACATTGAAAAATCTCTCCTAAACAACAAGGTCAAATAATATTTACTTAACAAAAATATTACTTTTACTATATACTTGTATCATCATTTATATTATTTCTCTAATACAAATTAATCCGGACAATGATCAGCTGTTTAACACCTAAGCGGTGCCTAAGCGGCACTAAACGGGAATTTTTATAGATGCGATTTATCCATGAATGAACGAGAACAGTTACAAAAGTTGTCACGTAGTTGCATTTTTTAGTGACCAATTTATGAATGCAGGTGTTGGGAAACATTCATGGTGGTTCTGGTGGCATACTCGGCGTGGGTTTACCCTTTTGAGGTTGCATTTCTTAACACGTCCAAAAGCAGGCCACTATACATTGCAGACAACGTCGTCGATCTATTTTTTGCCGCAGATATTATCTTGACATTCTTCGTCGCATATGTTGATCCAAGAACTCAGTTACTTGTTCATGACTCTAAAAAAATCGCCATGAGGTTGGTTAATTAATTCATTGGTTGGCTTCTAATTTCATCATTAGTTAATTAAATTCAATAATATATAGTGATAAATTAGAGCAATTTTCAATATTCAGCACAAGTAATAATACATAATAGAATCCTCACTTTATTTAAAGGGAAAAAGGAAAAAGAAAAAGTCGAGAAACACAGTCTGGTATACCAGGTGATATAAACAATTAGTTGATTTTTTTGTTTTTAAGTTTTCATCTAATTATATTATTATATTTGATATACCGGACTGTATTCTCGACATACTAAAAAAATCTCTCAATTCGAGGGGATGACATTTGAAAGCTACTTTCTATCCAATTAAGAAAAGAGGACACTCGAATACTATTTGTTCGCTTCTTTGTATGTTTGAACTTCGAAGAAGGTGATTTTTGCATGACTATTTTTTTTCCCTACATAGCTATGTTCATTTCTGATTTTCAAACTAAATAAATTAAGAAATAGAAAAAAATAATCAAAAGTGTGTAGAAGTAGAGAAAAGTGGCGTGAGAAATGCATTTCCAATGTAGGAATATGATTCCCGCACTACATGGATATGCTCTTCTTTATTTCACGTACTAAAAAATATTATGCTTCCATCATGACTTTGGTGATACTTGGATTGGAAATTTCAATCTGACTTGAAAAAGTCCGATCGAAAATCGAATATTTCCGAAGAATCGGATGAAAACTGAAATGTGGAAAGAATTCCAAAAATTTCAAAATTTCATCTGATTTTATTGAAACCTTTCCAAACTTATTTTCGTACAAAATTCAGAATATTAATCACTAATTGTATGTATATTGTAATACATTAATTAAGATTTAACTACAAATGATATAACAAAAAGATGATTACTTAATTCTTAAAATATATACAGATACCTTACGACATGGTTTTTGATGGATTTGGCATCAACACTGCCATTTGAGGCACTTTTTTTAGCACTGGGAAAAAACAAATTGAGTGCCTCTTACTCTCTATTGGGATTGCTCAGATTCTGGCGACTAAGACGAGCAAAGCAACTCTTCACAAGGTTGGTTTTCCGTACATATATATTTGCCTCTATATGTGTAATATATATGCATGGTTTAGGATCGGGTGATACATTTTAACCAAGTTTTGTGAGACTTATTTCGTAATTTTTTTCAACAATCTAGATCTGTCTTTATTTTAGGTCTTTACTCAAAGATCATATTTATCAGAAATCACCCAAATCTAAAATCATTGATCATTGGATTAAATGGTAGTCATTTCAGTGTGTAAAACCACTCATTTTCTTTGCTACAAGTGAATGTTTTAATGGTTTTAGATTTATCTAAATTTTTGCAATAATAATTTAAAATATAAACAGTTCGAATCGTTGAAAAAAATTATGAAGTGAATCCTAAAAAAATGTGTCAAAATGTGTGTTAAAAAAGCGTGTGTCTCCTAATCCTGACCATATACATATGTGTGTGTGTGTGTGTGTGTGTAATTATATATATAACCTCATCTTAATTCCATTAAAAATTTGTGACTCAATCACATGCATCATATATCTTCTTTGGCAGACTGGAAAAGGATATCAGGTTTAGCTATTTTTGGGTCAGATGTGCAAGGCTTTTATCTGTAAGTATTTAGCACCTAATGTTTTTTTCCTCTCAAACCTAATCATTTTTACTTAAAGTTTAATCATTTTTTTAAATGAAAATCGAATGCATCGTGCAAGTTTTAACATACATAAGTAATAAAATTTAGAAATACAATTAAACACTATACAATATATTGTATAGGTGTTTTAGTAAGAAAACCAATGCAACTAAGCGTCATTTGATAATTATTTTATTTTTTGTTGTGATGGAAGAAAAATATATTGGGAGGGGGCCAAGGGAAGGATAAAGAAGGGTAGAGCATGGGGTGGGAGTAGGTCTGATAATTTCTTGTACGACCTGTTAACCTGACACAAAACGACAAAAAAATAACAGGTACTCGGTCAATCCATTAACGAGTCTGGTCATTATTGGGTTCCCCACTAAGAACATGTTAATAGTTCAGGCCGTTATTGGGTTACACGTTAAAAACTCATTAAGATAACAAGTATGACACATAAAAGACACGAACACGACCCTATTTGACAGGTCGAGACATTAGGCACGACAATGTCTTGCATGACGTATTAACCCGACATGAAACCTCACAAACCATTAATGAGTCTGGTCATTATCGGATGACCTATTAAGAACGTGTTAAGATAACGAGTTTAACACAACAAAATCCGTTGAGATAACGGATATGACACGAACACGACAAACACCGAGTTTGCCAGGTCTAGGTGGGTGGGAGGAGGGAGAGTGAATGAGAATGTATGAAACAAATCGAATGCTATCTTTTCGGGGTTAAAAAAGAATTTAAAATTGTTTTCAGTTTTTGGTTTTTAATTGCATTTTGTGTATGTACCATCCCATACATTTCCTGTCACCTTTATTTCTCCGTTTTTGTTCATCATCTCATTTATTCCGTATGTATATCCTCAATCAAACGTAAAATCCAAAAAACTAAAGACTGAAATAGTTATGAGACGGATTGCCATTCTACAGGTAACAGTGTTTTCAGTACACTGTGCTGGATGCCTGTACTACCTGCTCGCAGATCGATATCCACACCGAGGGAAGACGTGGATTGGAACTGTGTTTCCAAATTTCAGAGAAACAGGCCTCTGGATCCGATACATCTCAGCCCTATACTGGTCTATGACCACCATGAGCACCGTCGGCTACGGCGATCTCCACGCAGTTAACACCGTCGAAATGATCTTCATTATTTTCTACATGCTCTTCAACCTTGGCCTCACTGCTTACTTGATCGGCAACATGACCAACTTGGTTGTTGAAGGCACTCGTCGTACCATGGAATTCGTAAGCAACATTAAAATTAGGTCAACGGTTTCATATTTTGTTACTTAAGATCGTACGTAGTTTACTAATTGTTGCAATTCAAAGACAGACTTCATTTTGTCAATCTTTTGAATGCGCATTTGAGGTAAACTACTGTTCTTAAATTGCAACGACTAGTAAACTACGTGCCTAAAACAACGGAAATTACATATCGGTTTGAATGATGCTTAATCAATCAATTCGATTAATTGTTGTGCAGAGAAGTAGCATTGAAGCAGCATCAAGTTTTGTGTGCCGGAATCGGTTGCCTCAACGGCTGAGGGACCAAATATTGGCATATATTTGCTTGAGATTTAAGGCGGAGAGCTTGAACCAGCAGCAGATGCTTGAACAGTTTCCCAAATCCATTTGCAAAAGCATATGCCAACATCTGTTTTTGCCAATTGTGGAAAAAGTATATCTTTTCAGAGGTGTTTCAAGGGAAACACTTCTGCATCTGGTAGGGTAAATATAGGTTTTTTAGCAAAAATGGTCCTCAGATTGGCATAATTCTTCACCTTGGTTTATGAGATTTAAAATCGATAAAAGTAGTCCATGAGATTGTCCGCCGTCAATTATTTTGGTACGTTAATGAAAAATCTCCGTTAAATTGAGGGTATATTTGTCAAATCAACTCCTCCACTTTCACTGATTTCTTCAATTTAACGAAGATTTTTCACAAAAATGACCAAAATGATTGACGGTGGATAATCTCAGAGACTACTTCTATTAATAGCAGGGACCAAAGTGAGGGGTTATGTCAATCTCATGGACCATTTGGACTAAAAAGCCGTAACTATATGTATATCGCAATTCTAGAAAAAGACCAATATGTCTTTTCTTGGACAAGAAGAAAACACTTTGCACAAGGAAAACTGATTTAAGTGCTAATAATCTTTGCATCCATCTAACTATATAAGTGCATCGATGGTTGATCAGGTTGCGAAGATGAAGGCAGAGTACATACCTCCTAGAGAAGATGTTGTGCTGCAAAGCGAAGCGCCGGAGGATGTTTATATCATTGTTTCTGGAGAAGTGGAAATAATTGATTGTGAGATGGAGAGAGAACGAGCTGTTGGGACTTTGCAATCTGGAGACATGGTTGGAGAAGTTACTGCATTTTGTGGTATAGAAGTTGGTAAATTATGCAGACCTCAAACCTTTACGTACCGAACCAAAACACTGTCACAGCTCTTGAGAATAAAAACCACTGCCCTAGTAGAAGCAATGCAGACCAAACCAGAGGACAAAGTACAAATGCTTAAAAACTTCAACCAGGTTAGCGAGCATATATAATTATATATATATATATATATATATATATATGGTATATAATTATCAAGTTAAATATCTTTCTAGAATAAGAAATGAATTAATGACTAAATGTTATATTGCAGCATCACAAAAAGCTTAGGGATCTGAGAGTCGGAGAAATACTGGTTGAGAGTGGAGAGGACGAAGGTGATGACCCAAAGGCGGCATTCAACATGTTGACTGCTGCCAGCAAAGGCGATGCTACTCTTCTTGATGAGCTTCTCAAGGCAAAGTTGGATCCCGATATTGGAGACTTCAAGGGAAGAACTCCCCTGGTATACAATGCCTTTCTAGCCTCAAGTATTTAGATGTTCTGTTAGTGCCAGACAAAATATAATCAAGAAGAACAACATTGACAAGATAAACGAGCTAGTTCATCGTTGTAACAGAAGATATTCACAACTATATCAGTAATATGTTTAAGCAATGAGCCTATCTAGCAGTAGCTAAAACAAGTAGCATGATAAAATAGAAGGACAAGATTGAATTAATTGTTTCTTTTAATGCACCTGCAGCACATAGCAGCATCAAAAGGCCACTACGAATGTGTTTTGGTACTCCTGAAGTATGCTTGTAACGTACATGTAAGAGGTAATTAATATACCTCTGTTTTGCTTTCCCGTATGTCACTCCTATTTTCTGTTCTTAAACTCAACGTCTTTATAATCTGTACACGGCAGATACAAATGGTAACACAGCGTTATGGGATGCCATTGCATCAAAGCACCATTCCATATTCCGAAGTCTCTACTTTTGTGCAGCCATATCTGATCCATACACCGCTGGCGATCTTCTATGCACTGCTGCCAAGAGAAATAATCTAACCGTAATGGAGGAACTCTTGAAGCAGGGATTAAATGTCGACTCAAAGAATCAGCTTGGGAAAACAGCCGTACAAATAGCCATGGAAGAAAACAATGCAGACATGGTAAATTTGCTAGTGATGAACGGTGCAGATGTTACCAATGCACAGAACTGCTTATTTCCTTCACAAAGTTTGACTGAAATGCTACAAAAACGAGAGGTTGGACACCGGATTACAGTTCCAGACAGCACAATAAATGAAGTGCCCTTGATGAAGAATGGAGAGCGTAATTCTGGGAGAGAATCCTATGGAGTAAATTGTCCAAGAGTGAGCATATACAGAGGCCATCCTATGGTTAGGAAAACAACATGTTGCAGGGAAGCTGGTAGAGTAATTAGATTGCCTCGTTCGCTAGAGGAACTCCGAAACGTTGCAGGTAATTTAATTAACCGTAATCCAGTATCAACTGCCAAGTGATTGTGATTCTTCTCAAAACATTGCAGGAAATTGTATATATCATGCTTGATGTTGTTATAAGTGGAAATGGTCCATATGGATGCAAGCTTAATATATTTACACCAAATGGAAATACGTATTTGGCAAATGTACGTTGTATGAGATTCTAATATGTTAATTTCATGATCTTAAACAGGTGTAAAGTTTGGATTTGATTCAGGAAATATATTGGTTACAGATGAAGGAGGAGCGGAAATTGACTCAATAGAAGTGATTCGAGATAATGACAAACTTTTCCTAGTTGAACTTGAAGACCCAAAGTCTGTCAAACCCTAAACGAAAGTATCTCTGTTAAGGATTCCAATGGCGAGATTGCGAGCAAGTCGAGTTTATTTCTTATGCACAATGGTGAGATATACATGTGATGATAATGAACAAACTATAATGAGTTATTACTCAAAGAAGATGTATTAAATCAGTTGGTATAAGAACAGAAACTCACAGTGGGTGTCACATCCCAGTCCGCATAGGGAGGTGGGCATGTACATATAAGGCACATCACCTCCTCTTCCCCGGACGATGTGGGATCTTACAGTGGGTGCGTCAACTTAAGAACCAGCTTGACTGAGTTGAATTTGAGAAATGTTTTCAGTCATACATGAATAGGGGAAGTAGTGTGTTTACTACAAGTAGTGTCTTTCTGTTATGCACACCGGCGGAACCACTGTCAGATAAGCAATGCAAGGCAGTGGCAGGGCAGTTAGCCGGCTTCCTTTCAGATTCAACATTACTCTTCACCGTTAATAATCGATGCCGGGTAGAACAAGCTTACCAGTCCCAAACAACTGATGTTTACAGAGTATAACTAAAAGAGGGGTGCTGTCCAAAATGCCAATCCAAATAGGATGATACTTACTTTCCAGCAGCAAAAGCATAGCCAGTTTCTAACGTAACATTCGAGCCACTTGAATTTTCCACCGACGCTTCCTTGGTTCATCTGTATACCCCGTACTACGAAGACCGTCAAGGACAGCTCGTTGGGTAGCCCTGAGTATTTTCTTGCCATCTCTTAAACATTTCATCATAAGCTTCGATGCACAACGGAACCTCGCTGCCTTGCAAAGATTGTGCACCAAGGAAGTGTAGGTAAAAGAATCTTTAGTCTCCATCGATTTGTACATTTCCATCGCACGATCAATTTGACCAGCTTTACACAAGCCATCAATCATGCAGTTGAGGGCAACCAAGTTTTCCCGGAAGCCCATCGTTTTCATATACTGTAAACGTTGTTCAGCACCGATAATATTACCAGCCTTACACAATCCATCAATTATAAATGTGTGGGTATGCTTGTCACACAGCAGACCCCCATTCTCTATTTCATCCATCAACTTAAAAGGCAGCTTCAAACTTACATTCTCTACAATACATATTAAGCGGAGTGTTATAAGACGATAAATCGAGTTCCAACGCCATTCCTCATTGTCTGTTCCATGCAAGCATTTGCCTCTTCTATCCTCCCAGTCTTAACTAAAGCAGCAACGTCTGTGCCGCATGCAAAGCTATCAAAAGCAGACCCTTTACTCTTCATCTCTGACATAATCTCAAGCCCTTCGTCATACTGCTTAAACTTAAAGCAGCATTTCATAACTGTAGTGTAGGTTATGGCATTTGGCTCATATCCTGATTCCCCCAGTTCCTTTAGCATTCTCCTTGCTGGCCCCAATCTGCGCGCCTTGCGTAGCCCGTGGATAAGAATATTGTACGTCACTAGTTTTGGAAATTTTGAGTTGAAATTTTATTGTCGCCATTAGCCATTCCTAAAAGGTTTCCCACTTTATAAGGTTTTGTCTCTTATAGATGGTGATTGGAGTAATAGACCTTTGAGAATGAAATTGGGCTCAACCTTGGGGTTGGGCTTTTGAGGTGTACTAATTAGTTGATAATTAATATATAATTATTTTTTTAATTAATTTCGAATTTAATTAAATTACTTTTGAACAAACTTATCTAAAAAGATGAAGTCTGAAGTCAATGAAAAAACAGAGAGAGCACAACACCCATCTGAAGAGATGTCTCCCAACAGTCACATCTCATTTTCATACCTATTGTGAACATTCATAATCCCACTATATATACCTCCATCTGCATGACATTTAAAACACAAAATATCAAATTCTTCTCCTACATTCCTAAACCTTCTTACTAAGAGAACCACGCATAAATTCACCATAAGTCAGTTTTCCGATGTTGGAATTTGAATCATGGTGAAGCAGACGTCCGTAGAACTACAAGCACTGAGTAGAGACGAAATTTATGTTTTAAGGACATTGCGGGGTACGCAAGCCTTGATCTTCAATATTTCTGTTTAATATTATTTCATTGTTCATACACTGTTAATTAGTTGTTTACATTTATTATTTATTAGCATATATAAATTTATCACAGATTGTTGACATATATCCAATAACTAACTGGGGAACAAATCCACGACGTTACAAATTCCTAAACAACATAAGAGCATTATCAATGTATTCATTTTTACAAAGGCCGTTGATCATTATGTTGAACGTAGCCGGATGGGGAGTGAGATTGGTAAGTAAAATATCTTGAAATACTCTGTTGGCTTCATCAGGTTTTCCTAACTTAAAGAAACAATGCATCAGAATATTGTAACTCCATAAATTAGGATGTATGCCGGCTCATAACATTTCCTCAAACAGATCCAGGGATTGTGATAACAAGCAATTCCTGGTGGCGCCGGATAACAAAGAATTGTATGTAATGACATCTGGACTAATCCCAGCCTCTTTCATTCTATGAACAACAAAATAAGCTGCATCTAAGCTAACAAACTGAGAATAGGCACTGAGCAAAGTATTGTAAGTCAGCGGCGGATCAAGGAAATAATATTATGGGGGTCAGTAATAAATTTTTTTTTAACAGAAATAGCATGCATATCGTCATTTCATCGAGTCTTGGTAGGTCTGAAGTCATTTGGAAAAGGCATACTACACACTTGTTAATGCCCCATTTGCGTGGGTAACTAACATATTCCAGGTTGTTCCCATGTGAATGCTTAACAAAGAAACACACTTATCTTGAACACACTAACAATGTTTGATATCATTGCATCTCATTAATATGTTTGTCCAAGAATGATGAAGCTTTGTTATTCTCTGAGATCACCATTTCATTTACTTTGTATTTTTGGATAATTTTTTACTTGGTTCTTTTTTTTTTGCCTACCATTGTAATCATAACCAACAAACAAGTCAGAGGTAAATAATATTAAGACTAGATTGTAAAGGGGCAACACCTCTCTAATGCATTTTATCAACCAGTTGAAGGGCATATACGAATGACAACTTCAACCTTTAAAAGGGCAGCACCCAAATCATCTATGAACATTCACCGAAGTTCGGATGATCAGCATTCAAGTTATCCTAAATATTCACTTAAGTTCGGAGGGTCAACTGACCCCCTGCCCCTTAATGCATCTGCCCCTGGTAAGTTACCACGTCTGGAGCCACCCTTAATCTTATGCCGTCAATTATAACGGCTTCTGCTCTCTCCAGTGGCCAGGCCTTACAAAAGGAAGCCATGCAAATGTTCAACAGCCTCGTCGATAATCCAGAAACCATCATGTACATCACGCATAATGACTTCCCACGAGAAACCCGAGCGGGCAACATGTCAAAATACGATGTGTCAACGTACACCATTTCCTCTTATCAGTACAAAACCAAATATTGTATAAGAAACAATGTTTTAAAAGGCTCACATCAGGGCGCGCTAAGCGTCCTCTGAGGCTGGACGTGAGGGTTGCCGTTTCTATTTTGAAGGAGTGGGCGGAAGGCGTTGCCGGAACCACCTAGGCACACCTCAAGGTTTTTTTTTTTTTTTTTTTTTTTTTTTTACAAACTCCCAAACCCAAATTTTGGGTAGGGTTTTAACTGCCTCATACCTCTTCCTTGCACTATCGTCTCTCTGCCTTTTTTTCTGATTTTTTTAATTTATATAATAGATGTGTGTGATGTCTGCGTACATTGTTATATGTGTGCTCATTGTGCTTTTCATCCTCTGTTTTCTATATATATATATATGTGTGTGTATATATATTTGTAATATATGTGTGTGCTCATGGTGATTATTGATTAATAATCTTTTATTTTTTAATATAATGTATGTGTACGCTCAATGTATATATTAAAAAATTTAGATACCGTGACGTTTTGCCTCACGTCTAGGCTAGTTTATCCCTCGGATGCCTCAGCCCACATCTTATGCTTTTAATACATTAATAAGAAAACACGTCAATCTTGAAGCTTTGTTCCCCTTAAAACCCGACATCAGTGGATATAATCGGAAACTGGTAATGCTAATACAGTGGCAGCCGTCGGTGAAACCTCTCCCCCTCCAATGTATTCACAACTGTGGCGGGGAAGCTTTTGTTGGTCAGAACATGGTCAAATTTTTCATGCCATTGCTTTGGAGCTTGTTTAAGCCCATATAGCGATTTCACAAGTTTACACACTTTGTGTTCTTTACCTTTAACTACTAACCCCTCGGGTTGTTCCATATATATTTCCTCATCTAAGTTTCCATTTAAGAATGCAGTTTTTACATCCATTTGATGTATTTCCATGTTATGGAGTGCAGCTATAGCAATCAATAATCTTATTGAAGTAATTCTCGTTACAGGTGAGTATGTATCAAAGAAATCCAAACCATGTTTTTGACGGTATCCTTTAGCTACCAAACGAGCCTTATATTTGTCAATTGTACCATCTGGTTTTAATTTCTTCTTAAAGATCCATTTGTACCCAATTGGCTTATTGCCAGGGGGCAAATCGACTAATTCCCATGTATGATTTTGCATAATGGAATCTATCTCACTGTTTACTGCATCCTTCCAAAATGGAGCTTCAGGAGTGGACATGGCCTCCTTGAATGATTGAGGTTCTGTCTCAGTTAATAAAGTCACAAAATCAGGCCCAAAGTCCTTTCGGATTTTTGTCCTTTTACTTCTTCTAGGTTCAAGTTCTTCTTCTTGAACTCTAGACGAAGTTGAACCATCATCATGTTCTCTAGGTTCATTTATAACCTCAGATACATCATCATGTATTCTCTTTTTCAATAAATTAGACTTGCCTATTTTGTATGGAAAAACATCCTCAAAAAATATTGCATTTATAGATTCTATAATAGTATTAACATGTATATCACTTACTTCGGAATGAAAAACTAAGAATCTATAAGCTGAACTATTAGATGCAAAACCAATAAAAACACAATCTATAGTTTTAGGCCCTAATTTTGTTCTCTTTGGCAATGGGACTTGTACTTTTGCCAGACAACCCCACACTTTAAGCAATTTAAATGTAGGGGTTCTTCCTTTCCATAATTCATATGGTGACTCCTTTCTCGTTTTAGGTGGAATTCGATTCAAAATTTTATTTGCAGTAAGTAAAGCTTCACCCCACAAATTGTGTGGAAGTCCATAACTATTCAACATAGAATTGATCATGTCTTTAAAAGTTCTATTTTTCCTTTCGGCAACACCGTTTGTTGTGGTGTATAGGGGGCTGTTGTTTGATGAATTATGCCATGTGTGGCACAAAATTCAGCAAAAGCATGAGACTCATATTCTCCTCCCCTATCGGACCTTAAGACTTTAATCTTCTTG